GGGGCTGTGAGCAACCTGATGTGGTTCAAGGTGTCCCTGCTCCTGCAGGGGGGTTGGGCTGGGTGACCTCTGGGGGTCCCTTCCCACCCAAAGCATTCTATGATTCTATGACTCTATGTATGAATGCTACAGGCAAATTTATTTTTATTTCTTTCTACGTTCTGCTTCCAGGTTAGCCTTGGGGTTCGGGCACGCTTGGCTTGCTGACTGTTCCTTCTAACTGCAGTCAGCTTTCAGCTTCTGAAATAACGTTGGGTTTGTCTTGTCCTGATTTTATTTTTGTAAATATAAGGGTTGTGGTTTTTTTGGTTTTGGTAACATCTTATTGATTGAGAGCTACTAACTTCCTTGAATACCGATGCATTTGACAGCTGAGAACAAGTGAAGTGAAAGGTGACTTATTTTTAATCACTCAAGACTAATTACCTAACTTGATTTCTCCCTCTCTGTCCCTGTTGCTTTTGTATTTTGACAAAACTGCTGCCCCAAACCCCCGGCTGCAGCTGGCGCTAATTACAGGCTCAGTGAAGGAGGGGAGTTTTAAAACTACACGGAATTTGAACCACCCTGTGTCCCGTGAGGCTCGCTCCCCTCCAAGGCTGGGGGCAGGATTACTCCGTTGAAGTCACAACCACATCTACCCTGCAGAAGTTGGTCGCGTAAGATGATTAAAAATAATTCTGAACAGCGTTTAAATATGAAATGGGTTTTATAGAAATTTGGTGGGAATAAAAGTGGCTTTCATTCTGTCTTCGTAAAACCCAGAGTCTTTTTTTTTTTTTGTGAAATATAGGTGATGAGGAGGGAGGAGGAATAATTTTGAAGAGACTTTGTTGGACCTATATGGTCATGGTTAATTCAAACCTTACATTAGCTCATTTCTAAGGCACATCATTATTTTACTGCCAAAGCACGTTGAATGGAGGGTTGCAATCCATACGTTGCTGTAATGTTATCTTTGCCCTCTAGTTTTATCTTACTTTTGTGTCTCGCTCCTATCATTACGCTAAGCAGTGTCTATTTAAGAGCTTTTGTCTGGTACTTGGATGAGATTCGGCTGTTGGTTTTTATCTTCCGAGAAAAAGGATATTTAGGAAAGGCACCAACGGAAAACTCCTCGAATAGTCTCTGGACTGGAGGTAGCACTGGGGGAGCGGTGTGGCTCAGTGCGGGAGCTTGGCTTCTGCCCACGCGAGAAGGGCACGCTAAAACCACCGTGGGGGCACCTCTGATGTGCTGCTGAGACAGAGGTAGCTTTTGAGCCCAGGGAAAGTGTCTTGGATCGGTGACAAACGAGCCTGTCCACAGCTGCCTGATGGCCACTGCTTTCAAAGAGGCAGCTTCTTGTATTTACGTTTTATAGACGAATGCCATTTCATCAAAACCTTCATGGAAATAAAGTTGCAAACTTCTTCCCCACCAGAAGAAGGTCACAAGACTCTCAATTTGTTTCAAAAGGGGAAATGGTGTAAGTAACATTGCCTCTGTAAGTCAGGTGGGTGGTGGGACAAGACTCAACTTCTGTAGATGGAAGCATCTGGTGGAATTTGGTTTCAGTTTTGAGCAGCCTGGTGAAGTGCAGGCCCCCTGATCCTTTAGCAGTCTTTGGGTTTGGATGACACGTTATGGCAGTTAGCAGCTCATCAGCATTGCACCACAGTCAGAAACATCTCAATTCATTTTTTTTTAATGTCCTCTTTTAGATCTGCTGTCACTCTGTGTTCAAAAACCGCGCGCTTTTCGGGTGGGATCACTTCTGTTTTAACAGGAAAAAAATGGGGAACCAAATCATGTGTACATCAGTGTTGTGGGGTTTTTTTTTTCCACACAGACAGCAGCGAAGGAGAGTATGTAAGAATCTATTCTCTGGGAGCAGCTGCCATAGGAGAGTTCTGGGCTATGTGATTATCTGCCTCGCTTACCCTGCTGGGGTTGGTAAGTCTGGGCTTTCTGTCCTTTTTTTTTTTTCCCCCTCCTTATGCTTTGTTCCAGAATGCAGGCACCATTTGCTGTATTTGAAAGCGAGCAGTTTTGCTCGGATGACCGTATTTTAGCTCTTTACATTTGCACTAAGCGCATTTTCAAAGCAATACAGCAAATTTCTTTAGCACGGAAGGATCTGGGTACCTGCGGCCTGTTTTTCAGAAGCAAGTGAGGCACGCAGCATTCCGAATCCCAGTGACGTTCAGCAAGATTTAGACTGCCAAGTACTCTTGCCTCTTTTGAAAATGGCACTTGGTTTCCTAAGTCCCATAAGCGCTTAAGAAAATGTTGTCCTGCTTTTTGCGTGTGTAAATGATTCTGCAGCTCAGTAGTTGTGCTGATGCAAGCAGGAGAAGGCACGGTGTACTGCCTCTTGTCTGCTTTGGACTTGCTTGCAGGCATATTGCAATTCCAGTGTTACCTTCCACTTTGGGGAGGGGATGGTGCAATTGAAGCTAAAAAAGAACCCCCCAAAAGGAAAAAAAAAACCCAACCCAAACGGCTGTACTGTGGCAATGTGTAAATTCAGGAGGTAAGTAGAAAATTTCTGTCCCTCAAGTAACTGGAGTTTTTGAATAGCTTTATGGAGGGAGTACTGGGGTGAAAAAAAAAAATGAGTTAGTGTATCAAGCTTCATTGCAGAACAAATCAGCCCGAGTATGTGGTTTGGTTGCTGATAGTTAGGAGCAAATGAGGAGAGAGTGAGGAGGATCTTTCTAGTTATATAGCAAATGTTATATTAAATTTGCAGAGGTTTTGTGTGGAGAGCTGTCCAGTGGCTTGCGTGGCGTTACTACTGGTGCAAGTTGCCAGTGCTGTGAGGAGTATTGAGCCTTGACTGTCCATGGTAGTAGAGGTTTTGGTGTATGTCATGCTCTTTGAGAGATTTACTACCTACTGCCTTGTCCCTTGCTGCTCCTCACCCTCTCAATCCATGAGCACACTGCTGGCCTGTGAAGTTACCCGAGATATGCGGAGATTAAAAAGACATTTGAAGAGCACAGATACTTTCTTGTCTTCGTCTTTCCCATTTCTCCGTAAGAAGAGCGATGATGATCTTTTCCTCAGTGAGTTTAGGCCAGACTTGGCTCTAAACGGAAAGACTCCCTTTGGTTTTAACGGTGGGTGAATTAAAAAGGAATGATAAGGAATCTTTTAAAGGTAGTAGATTATTTTGAGACATATTGTCTAGCTTTTAGTAATTCACGTGCATTTAGTAAAACTGTGGAGCCTATAGGTACACAAACCTGCCACTCATCGCTGCTATTGGAGAAGACAAATTAACTATTTATGTCTTTTAAAATCATCATTAAGAAGGTCTCTAAAAGCACTTGTATATGTGAACTGCATTTTGGATGCAGTTTTATTATACTTGAACTGTTGGCATCTTTTGAAGCTCCTTGGTGTCTCGCAGGAGGGCTTGGGCCAATTCAGAATCAACCTCCAAGTCTTAATTTGACCTTGATTTCCTTCCTATGTCACCTCTTCAGTTCTTAGAAATTGTTGTCTTTCAATGGAAAAAGTTGATTTGCAACTGATGGCAATGATAGAGACAAGTATAATAATTTTGCTGATTTTTTTTTTTTTTTTACAGCTTGTAAGCATGATGTATCTCAGCTAGCCACAATGCAGAAGAGATACCTAGGAACAGAAGTGATATTACGAATCAAAATCCTGGTTAATGCCCTTCCTATATCTTCAAGAGTGATTATTTTGTTGACATGGTATAGAGGCTAAAACTGCAGGAAAGCATGCAGTTTACTGTTTACTAAAAGCAAATATTCTAGAGACAAAGAAAAATCACAGGTGGTCTTTATAAAAAGTACATTGTTTAGTTCTTGTTATTCCTCTTTTTCCAATAAGTTTGAGGTCTTCTGCCTGTCTTTCACTTGCAGGACTACATGGGACTCTGGTGATTAGATACCGGTCGTCATGTTGGCAGAAGGCATCTTAACTAGACTCATGTATAAGGAAAGCTGTCATCAAGATAAGCCTCGCAAATCTCATGCATCCAAAAAGGATAAAGAGGGTATCTGGAGACAGAAGCTTGTAGACAACCCCAAAATTAAAGGCCTTGCTGGTGAACGTGAGAGGCAGGATGAAATCTCTGCTAAAAGTAGCAAAGTGGAACATGAGAGCGGTCCTCAGTGGAGATCTGTAAAAGAGGTACCTGCCAAAGGTCAGAACACGCTTGTTAAAGGAACCGTATCCCCAGCGTTGCAAATCCCCAAGAGGGAACACAACACTGAACAGATGGATTTGTATAGATCCCGGTCATACAACAGCATTTATCAGAACTACCCTGACCTACATATTGGGGGAGACCGTGTGGGGGACCATACGTGTGATTCGGGTTGTGTTTTGGACCATTTGTGTGATGAACTTCCCGATGGCCCTGTTCTGCTGTCCATAGATTTTCCTTCAGGTCAGTCTCCTCTATGTGAGCACCTGGAAAAGCCGAGCATGAAGTCCCTGTCCGGAGATGAAGCTGGCGAAAGGAGCATCGTGTTCTGTAAGGAGCCTCTCTCAAACTCCACGCTCAACAAGTACATGGAAACAAAAGTGACAGAGCTCTATAAACAGTTTTTTGAAGAAAACTTGACCAGGTGTGGTTCTGTAACGAACCTCCTGGCTTGCAGTCTGCTGAGGAATAACCTGAATCAGATAAGCTCTCAGGAACCTCCTGGCTTGCAGTCTGCTGAGGAATAACAATCAGATAAGCTCTCAAATATCCCAGGAGCAGAACAGAGAAACCTCAAAAGCCAGAGAAGTGCTCTTGCATTCTTTAGCTTTGTTTAGTTTGCGCAACGCTACCAATAGGAATAGCTCCGAATTTAGTACTCCAAACTTACAAATCTCAAACCCAACCTGTGTGAAAAAGAGCTGCAGGATGCAGTTCATACCGTGACTGGTCTGCTTGGCTGAAGAGATGGATACGCTGCGGAAACGTGTATTTCACTCTAAGGGTTAGGTTGGGAAATGAAAACATTTACACACTACAGACTTCTTCAAATAAATATCTTAGCACTTAAACCTGTACTTTGTTAGCAGAGGAAGTAAAGGCCACTGTTTTCTTTTTTCTAATACAGAATTTGAAATGAATTTCTCTCTAAATTGCTAGTCAGCCATATTTTTACAATATATATGTTCTCCTTCTAAGACTCTGGCTGTGTGAGTAATTGTACTCGTGTACAATTTGGATTTACTACTGCGAGAAAAATCCATCAAGACTTGTGCTGGTAAAACTCTGATCCAAGGCTGAGCCAGCAAGCGAGAGTCAAGCTGGCCACGCTGGGCTTTGGGCTGGGCTATAGCATTGAAGCCCCAGTTTGGGACACTGGGGTTCAAATTTTGCTCCTGCAAAGGTTGGTCACAGTGGCTGAGAAAATATTTCTTTGGTTTGAAAATCTTGTCAGCAGGTGGAGATGTTCTGGGCCTGGGATTATTTTGTACATATTATCACACACAAGAAATGCAGTGATGTGGAACATGAGTGAAGGCGCTGGTATTACTGCAGGTGTGTGTGTACCGCGTAGGTGGAGTATGTTAAATGAAAATCCAGGTGAAATAGTCGTTTGAGATTGTAAAAGTGTTTCACTTTCTGTTAAAAAAATGTATTCCTTTGAAATAAATCCTTGCCTCTTTGAAATCCACTCGGCTTTCTGTCAGTACGTTATTAGTTTATGTTCCACTTGCATTTTTAGTAAATGGACTCTGCTTTTATTCCCTTGGGAATCAAGCACCTGCAACCTCAGCAAGCCAGGACGACGGCAGCGTTCCTGAAAAGGTAGTGCAAGCTTTCTTCATCTTCTTTGGAAATCTAAACAGCAGATTTTGATACGGAAATTTTGTTGCTTAGCTTTCAAACCCGTTTTCTTCCTTTTCTATTACTCCTTCTCTGTAAGCGTTTTGACTGGAATTTAATTGCTGTGTCACCCTTGTAAAGTGATAAATGGGACTGTTACCCGGTCTGCAGAAGTTTCCTTCTAGTAGGGACGCCTCTTAATTTGTGCTGTGACCAAGTGTGGTTCGACACGCCCACGGTCCTGGCTGCGCGGTCGTGAAATCCCAAATCCAGCAATGACCTATGGTTACACAACTGTAAGCTTTGTGCTGTCCCCTAGTGCCAGAGCATTTTCCCCAGTTCCTGACGCCACTCGACGCACAAGGATGGGGTGAATTATAAAGCAGAGCTGCTCGGTGAAGCTGGCTGTGAAACGGCTTCTGTAACCCTAAAGCTTCTTTGTCTTAAGCCCTGATGCACAATATGCTACATTGCTTTTATAATCTTTGTCAGCCCTCTAAGAGAATATGAAGGATCTTGTGATCTCTGAGTAATAATACATCAAATGCAAACACATTTGTGTTTGTAAATCAAGGCCCTTGACGTCTGATCAGTCCTTTGAAGAGATCAAAGTTGTTGGTTGGGGTTTTTTTTGCTTGTGTGTGGTTTGGTGCTTGGTGTGTGTGTGTGTGGTTTTTTTTTTGTTGTTGGTTTTTTTTTTTTTAAATCCAGCTTCTTTAGTTGTTGGGCTTTGTTTAAAATAATTTCTGAGCTGGCATTTATAATGAAAATATCGGTAGGCTTGAAAGAATGCCTCAGAACATGGGGAACATTTGAATTCACAAGGGGTTCACCTTGAAGCTCTTAATTCAAGTAATTTAACTTATTAATTCGTTGCATTTACTGTAATAGAAACTGTACGACGGGGCTTGGGGTTAAGCTTCTGCCTGTTTTGGCCTGTACAGAGGAGGAAATCTGCAGGAATAAAAGTGTAGTGGGCCCTTAGCAAGCTGTAAAGGCTGCACCTTCATGGCACGGGGCTTTCTTTGGAGGAGGAGGAGGAGGATGGAACCGCTGCTGCATGCATCATTGGATGCGGTGTCAAACAGTCTACTAAATATAGGAGCGTGCGTAATGGAAAGGGAACCACAAAACATTTGCAGATCTTCAGATTATTTTTTTTTTTAACCTTTGCTGATGCCTTGCAATGTGTTTTAGGATCGGTGGAACTTCAGCTAAAGTGCATGGCTCCATGAATTCATGTACATAATGTCTAAAGCTCACCCTAGTGCAAGCCTGTGGGGTTTAATAGGGTGTGAATTTTTGAATAATATTCAAATTGGAGATCAAAGCTCCAAACTAAAGCACAAAAAAAAAAAAAAAAATAGCTGGCCAACAAGGCTACTTGGTCTGATAAAGGTCTGAATGCCCCTCTGAGCATCGAGCCGGTTCGGCATCTGCGCAGAGTGAATATCCCGTGGTTTGAGGCATTTCCCAGCTTTTTAGACTTTGATTTATGCACTCGGATGGGCGCTCTGCTGCTCTGGAATTGCCTTGAAAGCTGGGCGCTCATTTCCCTCCACTGCCTGTGCAAATTCTATTCCTGCTCCTTGTTTCTCATCGTGAATGCCCAACTTTGAATCTCTACTATTATTTTGGCAGGCAGCCTTTGGTCTAAGGGGGGCTTGTTCACGACAGTGGTGTGGTAGGATGGGTATTTTCAGACAAATGAAAGGAAAGAGGAATTGCTGTAGTTTGGTGATGGGCAAGATCGAGGAGAATCTGCTCCTGTGGGAAGAGTGGTCTGGGTGGCCAAAAAGTAAGAACTGCGCTCTCCTGGCTAAAATGACAGGCAAAGACAGCTCCTGCCAAGTATTATATTATTATTATTATTATTAATTAAATAATTAAACTTTGGACTCATACAGGTCCAAGATGTAAGTGAATGTTCCTTGCCTGATCAAAAATTCCATTGACCTTACTGGTGCAAGGGGTATGAGCAATACCGAACCTGTTTTCGAAGAGGATGATAGGAAAGGATCCTATGCGTTGTCCTAATTCCACGTGTGTCTCCTTAATCCCCTTCCCAGCAAAATCAAGTCAGGAGCCCTTTGGAAGAGGCCAAATGACCTCATTAAATTCTGGAGGAGTCCAGAGTGAGTAGCGCTTGAACGTTTTCCTTGGTAGAGCTGCAAGGAATAAGTTAACTGAGGGGGAGAGGAAACATGTTCCGAAGGGCATCAGTAACCAAAGGGTTTGCAGTTAACAGTAGGAAAAAAGTGCTCTGTGGCATTTATGCTGCCTTGCCCTAGCTTGCGATTTCCCCCAGGATGTATTTATAGTTCAAACCAAAGTCTTGAAAGAAGTTAATTGTGCAAGGTTCTTCCTCGGGAAACGTGGAAGTCAGAGTTTAAAGCTGAGGTCCAGACTCTGATCGTTTTTTCTCTCCTTCCCGGCCCTGAGAAATGTGTTTTTTCTCTCCTGCTAACCTCCGTGTCCCAGCCCTAGATATTAAAGTCAACTGTGGTTTCACCATTGGAGTTAACAGAAGCAGCAGAAGCTGCTGGGCATCGTCAGCTCCTGAAGTGGGAGAAACCCTGATGGACTTGCTTCTCCCATCACCATTGAAGAAATGGAGCTGCAGAAGAGAATTTGGAAGTGGATATTGTGTATTTAGCAGAATCTGAAGTTGCTGTGAAGCTGTGTCCGTCCCATACCTTTTCAGGACTGGTTTCAGAGCCCATTTTTTAATTAGTTTTATCACATATGTGGACAACTTTAGCTATAATGTAAATGTTAAGAACGAAAACACAAGGCAAGGAGCAGTGTTATGAGACAAGCTCGTTATCCGTAGCCTTTATTGTAATTCCAGCCCGCGTTACAAGCTGGTGGAGGCGAGGAGCCCATCAGATAATTCGTGACAGCAGCCATACCCAACCCAGGCGCGTTATGGATGCAGATGAAGCAAGGACACGTCTAGCACCTGTAAGGATAACGCACGACTTCATCGCAGGCATGCTTTGGGGGGGTTGGTTTTCTAACAGAAAAACATAAGCTGACTTAGTTTTTAGGGGTTTAATAAATGAACGGCTCGGAGGAAGGAAAGGAAAAATGAATTTTTGGCTGATTTATGTAGCTACTTAGCACGATAATGCACGTTTTAGCAGTGCAGCTGAAGATGTAGATTAATGCACGTTGTTAATGCATAGTACCACAGACTATATTCTGTTATTGATGCTGTGTGGTTTTGCCCGTGGGCGGGCATTGTCTGTGTACTTTTTCTACCCAACGCTTGTTACTCTGGTTTAATCCAAAAATCTAAATAACTTCTCAAAAATCCCTTCTCTTTGTGGGAAGGCGTCTGTGGTGTTGCTGCAGAACATATTTTAGGAGCAAAATCTGGTAATTCCTGGAAAGATGAGACAAATACATTATTTATCATTCACTTAGACCCTCCCTTTAGTTCAATTTTATTTGAGTTGACACGTTTCAATCCATAACATGCTTTGGTTTTATGGATATTTGGAAGATACCGAGGCCCCTTCGGAATTGCAGTGAGGTTTTTTTACTCGGCATCGGCTGCACCAGGGCTGTGCCCCTTTTTACTAGCAGGAAAAAATGGCTTGGTGAACTCAAGTTACATAGGGAAAATGACTTCAAAGGTGTGCCCTCCCAGACTGCTGAAGGACAGCAGATGTATTCCATTACAAATGAAAGCAATGCCAGATTCTGCAGGTCAGGCACAAAAGGCCAAATTCTGGCCAGCAGTTTTGTTTATCCAGGTGCCAGAAAGCCCCAAATTGGAGGAGAAATACCGGCAGGGAATTCTTGCTTTCATTTCCAGTTCTCATTTTGTGTTCCTGCAGAGAAACATTCATCGGGTACTGGGACCAGGACACTGGCATAAACTGGACTTTTCAGTTAA